TGTTGAGGAAACCCTGCTCGAAGGGTCCAGATATTTAAAAATCTTTATTCTCACAACCACCCTGTGAAGCGGGTGTTATCAGGTTCATTTTACAGCTCAGAGACCCCAAGTGGCTTATCCAGGACACACAGCTGAGAAGTGGCTCAAACCCTCTCTCTATCACATCACCCAGAGACCCAGAACATTCCTGTCTCTTCCTGCCTGTAAGCCTCTTAGCAGGCCTGGAGGTCCAGCCTAAAGGACACCTCCTCCAAGAAGCCTCCCCGATCACTTGCAGTTTAAAGTGGTCTCTCTCTCATTTGGGGAATGTTCTGGAACATGGTGTTTGTACCTGGCGTTTAAGGCAGTCTAGAGCAGTAGAATATCTGAGGGCTGGGAGAAAAATGAGATCTGCCACTAAGCAGCTGTGTGGCCTTGGGCAAGTCACTCAACCTCTCTGATTCTCAGCTTCTGCATCAGTAAAATGGGGATAACAATACTCCCTTTGCAGGGATGTTGGGAATTAATGAGAGTAGCTGTGCATGGGCTGAGCACAGGGTTCAGTAGACAGTAGGTGCTCAACTAAGATAGGCTCTGGTACTCTGTGGGCAACTGATACTCTGTGACGCTCTTGGCTGCGTTTCAGGCTTTATTCATCCCGCTCCGCCTCCCAGCACCAGCACAGGGCCTGGCAGGAGGCAGGGTCAGCATTTATTGGGGGAGTGAGTAAATGCATTTAGTGGGGTTGAGATGCCCTCTCCAGGCTCAGCACCGGCAACTGCGGGAGAAGGAGCTCGGAGTTAAAGACAGGAGGGCCTGGGTCTTTGTAGGTACTCAAAAGTAATTCAGAGGAGTGTTGGCTAAATCAGGAGATGGATGGATGGATGGATGGAGGGATGGATGAAGGATGGGTCACTGGGCTGGTGAGGGATGGATGGGTGGGTAGATGAAAGGGGATGGAGGACGGTTAGGAGATAGACAGGCGGTGGGTGGGTGGGGATGAGTAGACGGATGGGTATGCGTGAGTAGGGGTGGGTGGGAGGTAGTCAGGTGGGTGGTGGGGGATGGGTGGGGGATTGACAAGAGGGGGCAGATACGTGGTGGATAGATGGATGGGGAGGTGGGTGGAGGGACTAAATAGACTGAGACATAATTTTATTCATGGAATATTTATTGAATATTATTATTGGTGTCAGTGGGAAACACTGACACCAAGACAGACGAGGTCCCTGGCCTCCTGACACTCATATGACAGATAATAGATGACTAGCTGGATGGAAGCATTATCTCCAATTGCAGAAAAGAAAACTTCAGTTCTGGGAAGAAAAGCACCCCTCGGTTAGTTACACGAGCTTCCTGGGTAGAACTAAGAATAGAGCCCGGCCGGGGGCATTCGGGCGCCGTGGCAGACGGTAGGGACTTGGGAGACAGGCTGACTGTGGCTCTGTAAAGCCCTGAAGGTGGGCAGTGGCCTTCTCCATCCTGGGAACTAGAGTCGAGAGAGCAAACGGAGCTTCCTTAGCTTATCCCTCCTGCCCACTGGGCAGCCTGCCCGGCCCCAGGTCTCCCAAGGACACCGAGTTTCTGGAGCTTCCCCAGGAAGACACCATCCAGACCAGTCCAGGGGGCTGCTTCCTGGCTCTACTCAACAGGGCCGGGGAGGCTGCAGCTGAGTCATTCTGAGATCCTGCTGGGGGAGAAGGAGAGTGACAAGGCAGCAAGGTGGCTTTCACATCCTGGTTCCTCAGAGAGAAAGGGCAGCCTGTCACTCAGGGACCAGCGGCTGGCAGCCCCTCCTGCCCACTCCAGGAGCTACCAGGGCTGCCCCTTGATGGCCCAGCCCAGCCCCACGGGCCCTGAACCACCCTTCCCACAAGGCAGGGTGGGCCGAGGCTAAGGGGGAGTGATGGGAGAGGAGTCGGCAGATTCTAGAAAGTGTGTGTGTGAACGTATGCGCCTGTATTTGGGAAGGCAGAGTGTCTTTGCATGTCCACATACATGTAAGTATTTGTGCATGAGCAGTGTGGGGTTTGGTGGAACCCAGGGATCCTTTGGGGCCTCCTAGGCCCTGGAAAGCCAGATAAGGGCAGTTTGCTCTCTTGACCCTCCTGCCCTGGAAGTCCTGGCCTCCAGATTTTTACAAAACCCTCTGGTGTCTTGCTTCTGCTGCAAATGACCTTGACCTGGATCTGAAACTCAGGCTCTTCCTCACTTTTTACATCCCCCTCTCCCAGCTCCTACCAAGCAGAGTAAATTTGCTGGAGATTTTAGGGGAAGGGGGAAGACGAAAATGCAGTGCAAACAACTTCAAATGTTTATATAAAATATTTGGGTTCTCAACTGTCTAGTCATCCTCGTCCTGTCCGGGGGTTTCTCTCTGGCTCCACGTGGTACCCAGCCAGCTGCGGGCCCTGCCCACCCCACCGCACTCTGCCCCAGCCCGTGCACAGCCCCATCTCCATCCCTCCTCCTTACTCCAGCTCCCCCAGCTTGGCCAATCCAGTTCCCCCCAGCAATTAACTGCCAAATGCATCCTGGCTTTAATGGCAGCGCAAAGCACGTCTACTCAGTCATGGGCCCGGAAGGGACAGAAGCCAGGCTTGGTAGGAGAGCCCGTTCCATCACTTGCTGGCTGTGTGACCTCAGACAGATCCCTGTCCCTCTCAATCTCCCTTGCCGTACAATGGACCAACTATAGCAACTTCAATTTTAGAATTAAAGACTTACTTCCTGCCAGGCAATAAGAGCTTTATAAGAAAGAATTCGTTTTCATGAATCCTTACAACAATCCTATGAGGTAGAGACTATCCTTGTCTCTATTTTACAGGTGGGGAAACTGAGGCATAGAGAGGTTAGGCCAGGGATGGGGGCTGAGGTCAAGGGCCATGAAGGCCACAGTGTGCAGGACATTGGTTCTGGCTTGGGTGGTGTGGCCAGGACAAGCTGACATGGGGCTGGGAAGCCAAATGCCTATGGATACTCTCGCTGACTAGGGGCCTCTGTGGGCTCAGGACAGCCCCTCGCCGCGAGGAAATGCAGCCGCACTTGCAACGAGATGACCTCGCCCATCCCAGTGTCTCGGCTGATCGGCTATCGCCGAAATGAAGAATCCTGCCACAAACCCGCCATCATGTAGGTACTGCCCTCTCTGCCTCTGCATTCCTGGCAGGCCCTGGGGATGGTCCCAGGCCGCCGCTAACGCACGTGCTCCCACCCCAACCCGGGCTCCTGGCCAAGGGCCTCCGCAAATGCTTGGCCCTCCTGCTCCTCCTGCTGGCCCCCTCGAGACCTCAATACCTGGCCACATGGCAAAGGTGGGGAGCGGCTTCCTGAATGGCCTGTGACCTGGAGCAGCCGCCGAGGGTGGTGATTTCTCCTGGGCAGAGCTCAAACCTGCTGGGTTTCTGGGGGAGGTTAAGCACGGTCTCAAAGTGCAGGCTCCAGACTCCAGCAGATCTGGGACGAATCCTGGCTTCTCCACTTAGGGTCACATTGCCCACATTGCCTACCGTTTATGTCTTTAGCTTCCTTATCTGTAAAATGGGTAGTTGGGGGATGAAAGGATATAATGTAACTGAAGGGCTTGGCAGTGTGCCCGGAAGCTGCAGACAGGAGGAGAGGCCCATCATCTCCGTTTGACAGATGAGGAGACAGGATCCCAGTGGACTTTGGGGAGGGGCAAGCAGAGCCAGCTTCCCCCGTGGCTGTTGGGCCCCTGGCCATCTTGGCTGCTTGCTCCTCCGGGGTCCCTCTCGGGTACCGCCCCATCACCCAGCCCTGAGGCCATGCCCCAGGACTGAGCTTTGGGCCCTGACGCAACCTCAGCCAGACCCAGGGGCCTGGCAGCCCCCTGGCCAGTGGGCCTTCGAAGTCTGTGCTCAGCTAAAGGATGTCGTGCGCTTTCTCCCGTCGATGGTGCAGTTACTAGGAGGGGAAAGGGTGCTGCTGCCCGACCTCTCTGCTCACCCATCGAGGCTTGCTTTCTCCAGACTCCCCAACATGTTTTCTAGGGGAAGGGGAAGTGGGGAGCCCCAGGGAGGGGATCATGGTGCCTGGGGGGGCCTGCAGGGTCATGCTTGCTTCCTGGACTTCTCTGGCTTTCCAGCATACAGGAGCCAGGTGCATTTACATACCTCTTGAGCCTCAGTTTTCTCACCTGTAAAATGGGGATGAGCATAGCCACCTTGCAGGATGGGTATGAGGTTTAACAAACAAAATGCCTCGCACAGACTGTGGCATGGAGCAAGGGCCCCGGTCAGCTCCGAGCTGTGGTCTCGGCAGTGAACCGGCCACACAAGCTTCAGAGGAAGCTGAAGTTTGGATGGCATTTGGGGTCCCCATATACGTGGCTCTAGCTCACTAGGTGCCTTTCAGCCTGAGGGCACACTACGAGAGGAGGGTAGGGGTCCAGAGGGCAGCCTTTGGCAAGGAGAGGAAGAGGATGCTGTGACATCGGATCCTTTCCAGAGTGAGGAGGCCCCACCACCGAGCTTGTCAGTCCGTCACACGGGGGCAGAGAACACCTGTGACATCTCTTCCGCAGCAGAAGACGCACAGCCCCTTGCCTTAGCGGCAACGACATTATTATTAACATTGTTACTATTTTCAGTTATGACTGAGCTCCTGCTCTGAGCCCGGTGATTTACAACATTTTCATTTTTTTATAATGACATGAAAGTAGGGTGACCGACTTGTGGTTTGCTGGGACTTTCATGAAAAATCCCACATCTTGAGAACAGCTTCAGTCCCAGTTTTTCTGGGACGGTTGGTCACCCTACACAAGGTAGGTATCCCATCTCCATTTCTCGGGTGGGGACACAGACCTTCCAGAGAGCAAGCTGCCCCGGCTGATAATAAAGTCAGCTCACAGCTAATAAGCGGTGCGGGCGGGGTTTCCAGCTGGTCTGTTCAGAGGGTTTGCTGGTGCCCCTACTCCACGTGGCATCTGGGTCCCTGTCTTCTTTCCTTACAGCTTCGAGACCATAAAGCACAGATTTTTTTGTGCTGATCCAGAGGAGACATGGGTCCGGAAAGCCATGGAGCATCTAGATACTCTGAATCAAAGTGGTGGCACGTTCGAGAAGCAAATCGGAGTGAGTACGCCCAGGACCACTCTGGCCACCAGGGGAATGGACACATCTTTGGATTCAGAGCCCAAAGCCACAGAGAAAAGCAGTAGCCAGGAGGCACAGAGGGCCTTGGGGACTTCCCCAGAGCTGCCACCGGGAGTGGCTGGTTCCTGGGGGACCACATCCCTCTCCACCTCAAAGGCTCCAGATGGAGGGCCTCCAGCAGGACCCAAGAGAACCGAGCTTTTAAACACGGCTGCTGCCACCACTGCCACGTCTTGGCAGAGTTCTACTGCCTACCAACCTGGGTCAGGCCTCTGGGCTGAGAGAAAGGCCTCTGATGCCCCGTCCACCCAGGCCCCCTCCACCGAGACCCTCCCCACCCAGGCCCCCGCCACCCAGACCCTCCCCACCCAGGCCCC